CATAGACCTACTTTAGTTAATGGATAAAGTAATACAAACATTAAACAAAATGATGTGATCAATGTGCTTGGGAAACAGTAAGATGTATTTATAAAAATTTTCCCAGTTACATAACTGAGAAAAAATAGGCAAATGGAAGAGATAAGTCAAAAAAATAAATATCACCCTAACACAAAGAAGTCCTGGATATATCTCAACAAATATGATGATCATAGCTTATTTATTGTATTCACCAAGACATCAGCTTGCTAACATCATCATAAACCACAGTTTGAACTCTAAGTATAACATATTTACTTAAGGACTTCAGGGCTAGAAGGAATGCATTCAAAACAAAGACTAATAATTACCAATTCTGATTCATAACAATATCGAGGGATAGTGTGATGGTCTCCAAAAATTCTGAAAATAAAACTGATTTTCCTTTACTTCCATCTGTCATACAACATTTTTAACTGGAAGGATACGGCTATGAAATCCCATAATCATTGGCATCAATGCTCAGAATGCTACGGATTGCTGGAGCTGACACTAACAGCCTTCCTGAGGTCCTGGGCACTGAAGGGTTATTTGATTATGGCCTGATACCCTTTCTCAGAATCAGCCTTTTTTCTCATTGCTACCTTCCTGACCTAACTAAACAAGCACAGAAGCTTTCGGGCCCTACTTGTGATAACCAAAATAATCTCAGTGAAAAAAGCAATCATTACCTCCAGACAGTCTAAAGTAGTTTTTGTCATTAGAAAGTCTTGCCAAGTCATAAACTGTCAGATCTACATGGGCTAAGGCACTAAAGTTAGCTACAAATGGTTGACTGCTCATGTAAAGATGAAAATGGCATCTCAAATTCTCCATGCTGGGGACAACCACTTTCAAATCATAGGAAAGCCCAAAGCTTTCAGCAGTACTTTTTAAATTTCTCAAATCTGAAAATAAGTTTAGTACATACATTGGTATTCCTTTGACTTGGGGAAGAGAGGGGTAAAAAGTGGAGGAAACTAAATCCATTTTTATAAAAAGGAACTTGTTGTAGCTGTTCAGGCAAAACAACTAAATGAACAACTACAGAAAGTCTCATTTGGCATTTTCCAAACCCAAATTAATTATTTTCATTATAAAATGCATGTTAATGGTAGGAAATCAATAACAATGACAGTAATGGATACCATCTCAAGAATAGATCTGACACACTGAACACTAATGACCGAAGGCCAGATGAGCTGTGGAATGACATCAAGGACATCATACATGAAGCAAGCAAGAGGTCATTAAAAAAAACAGGAAAGAAAGAAAAGATCAAAATGGATGTCAGAAGAGACTCTGATACTCTCTTAAACTTTGCTCCCCAGACAAGTCACTCACTATCCTTGTTCTAGTCCTGGCCTTGGTTCAGGCATAGCCATCTTGTTGGCAGAGGAACTGGGAGGGAGAAAAGACAGGACTTGTCTTGAATGCGGATTCGCTTGACAAGCATCCTCTAGTTTCATAGATGGTATGTTTGCTTAGGAAGGCTTAGTGTGGGGGCTGATCAACATTAAGTGAAGGATTAATCACCCCTTTCTCCTCAGTACCAACATTGAAATCACTTCTCTACGCTTAATAAGTTTAAAAACTAAAATAGAATGATGTATATTGAACATTTGCACTTTGACAGAACTTTAGAAACAATTTCTCACTTAAATCTTCCAACAGCTCCATAAGGTAGCTATTCATATTCCCATTTCATGGATAAGTAAGTTCTGGCTCAAAGATGGTCTAAACAGCACAAAATGTAGTAACTTCCAAATTCCATGTACCACGTGTATGATTTTCTCAACTTCTATTGCTTGACCTATTCTTGGGTATGGTGGTAGCTATTAAGATCAGCTAAATTAAAATATATAAAAAATGCTTTCTAAATTGTAAACCACCATAGCAACATGAACATCGTTCTACCGGTTATATTCATAATAATAATAAAATCATTTTACTTTTACTCCTAATGTGCTTATATTTTGCCTTTCTTAGAGTCTGGATGTTGTTGTTAGGTGCTGTCAAGTCGGCTGTGACTCATAGCGACCCAACATACAAGAGAAGGAAACACTGCCAGATCCTGTGTCATCCTCACGATTGTTGTTATGCTTGAGCCCATTGTTGCAGCCATATGGAATGAAGTAAAATATTGCAAAGAAGAAAAGAAACCACTCTTCTAGAATTGGGAAAATATCCATCAGAGTCAACAATCACTTGTCCTCATTCTGTCTGAAACTGAATATGCTGAGCTTTGTACTATGTAGTTGAACTATTCCAAGTAACACAATTAAAATGCTGAAATGCATTTGAGCAGATGTTTATTCTCTGAAGAAAGGTAACTAGAAAGATTATCTACTCAAAATTAAGTCAGGTGTGATGTTGTAAATAGGATGATAAACAAAATTAATGTATATAATTTTGTAATCTCCTTGATTCCAAAGTCCAGGACAGGGTGAAAATATAATCAAACAAAATTCTAGCCAATTTAATCAACCATACATCCCATTAGACTTGTTTACTTTACCTCTGACGATAGTCAATAAAACAAATGAGTTAAAAATAAAAAAAAGAAGAGATTCTGAAAGTTGCTCTTGAACATCAAGTAGCTAAAGCAAATGGAAGAAACGATGAAGGAAAAGAGCCGAACACAAAATTTCAAAGGGCGGCTTGAGAAGACAAAGTAAAGTATTATAATGACATGCGCAAAGACCTGGAGTTAGAAATCCAAAAGGCAAGAACACACTTAGCATTTCTCAAGCTGAAAGAACCGAAGAAAAAACTTAAGCCTCAAGTTGCAATAGTGAAGGATTCGACGGAGAAAATATTAAACAATGCACGAAGCACCAAAAACAGGTGGAAGGAATACACAGAGTCACTATACCAAAAAGAAATGGTCGACGTTCAACCATTTCAGGAGGTAGCATATGATCAGGAACCAATGCTGCTGAAGGAAGAGGTCCAAGCTGCACTGAAGGCACTGGTGAAAAACAAGGCTCCAGGAATACCAACTGAGATGTTTCCACAAACGGATGCAGCTCTGGAAGTACTCACTCGTCTATGCCAAGAAATCTGGAAGACAGCTACCTGGCCAACCAACTGGAAGAGATCCATATTTATGCCTATTCCAAAGAAAGGTGATCCAACCAAATGTGGAAATTATCGAACAGTATTATTAATAACACATGCAAGCAAAATCTTGCTGAAGATCATTCAAAAGAGGCTACAGCAGTGTATCGACAGGGAACTGCCAGAAATTCAAGCCGGATTCAGAAGAGGATGTGGAACAAGGGGTATCATTACTGATGTCAGATGGATACTGGCTGAAAGCAAAAAATGCCAGAAAGATGTTTGTCTGTGTTGTATTGACTATGCTAAGGCATTCGACTGTGTGGATCATAACAAACTATGAATAACACTGGGAAGAATGGGAATTCCAGAACACTTAATTGTGCTCATGAGGAAACTGTACATAGATCAAGAGGCAGATGTTCAAACAGAACAAGGGGATACGGCGTGGTTTAAAGTTAGGAAAGGTGTGCGTCAGGGTTGTATTCTTTCACCATACCTATTTAATCTGTATGCTGAGCAAATAATCCGAGAAGCTGGACTATATGAAGAAGAATGCGACATCAGGATTGGATAAAGACTTATTAACAACCTGCAATATGCAGATGACACAAGCTTGCTTGCTGAAAGTGAAGAGGACTTGAAGCACTTACTGATGAAGAGCAAAGACCACAACCTTAAGTATGGGTTACACCTTAACATAAAGAAAACAAAAATCCTCAACTGGACCAATAAGCAACTTCATGATAAACAGAGAAAAGAAGTTGTCATGGATTTCATTTTACTTGGATCCACAATCAACACCCATGGAAGCAGCAGTCAAGAAATCAAACAACGCATTGCATTGGGCAAATCTGCTGCAACAAACCTCTCTTTAAAGTGTGGAAAAGCCATGCCATAGTGTTTTCAATTGCCTCATATGCATGCGAAAGCTGGAAAATGAATAAGGAGACCGAAGAAGAATTGATGTCTTTGAATGATGGTGTTGGTGAAGAATATTGAATATATCATGGACTGCCAAAAAAACGAACAAATCTGTCTTGGAAGAAGTACAGCCAGAATGCTCCTTAGAGGCAAAGATGGCATGACTATGTCTCACATACTTTGGACATGTTGTCAGGAGTGATCAGTCCCTGGAGAAGGACATCATGCTTCGTAAAGTACAGGGTCTGCGAAAAAGAGGAAGACCCTCAACGAGATGGACCAACACAGTGGCTGCAACAATGGGCTCGAGCATAACAATGATTGTGAGGATGGCGCAGGACAGGGTACTGTTTCGTTCTGCTGTACGGAGGTCGCTATGAGTCAGAACTGACTCCATGGCACCTAACAACAACAATGGATACCACTATATTGAGCGCATGCTATGTGCAAGGCACTTTACGTATATTATCTGTATTCCTCATAATAACCCCGTGTTAAAATGCTACAGTAAAAAAAATTTAATGAGGCTCAGACAGATATATTTGCCACAAATCAAGTTAATGGCAGAGCTTAGATTCAAACCAAGTTCTTACTGACATACCTAAAGCCCAGATTTTAGATGGCAATGAGGTGGGAGAGCATTCTTCTCTTTTCCAGCCTCAATTAATCTCTCTCCCACCCCTCCTCCCATAGTTCTCTCTCTCTCTCTCTCTCACACACACACACACTCACACTCACTCCCAGAGAGGCAATATGATGTAGTAGGATGAACACGAGTTTTACCAAAAAAACCTACATTCAAATTCTGACTCTGCCATTTACTAGCTGTAAGACCTGGGTGGTAAAAATTACTTGAGAGACCTCAATTTCCCATTAAATGAGATTAAATGAAATCAACATAAACTGTGCTTAGTGCACAGACACTGTTTGTTATCTTTCCCCTCACTCTCGTTGATAGCCTAAAGACCAAATGTAGATGAAGCAATAACATGTCATCTGTGCTGGATGGACAGACCAGAAAGTTAGCACTCCCCTGAACAAGGATGGAAGAGGTTCTAGTGACCTATATACCACACATATGGTTAAGGAACTGTCACCCACTTCGTGGCATCTAACCACAAATTCTCCATAAATTAATACATAATGGCCACATGGGGTTGAGCCTAGGAATGCAAGGATGGTTCAACATTCACAAATCAAACAATGCCATTAATGTTATCGACAGCCGAAGGAAGAAAACCCATATGGTTATTTCAATAAATACAGCAATAACATCTGGCATTCATTCAACATTCATTCATGATTTTTTTTTAATCTCAGTAAACCAGGAATAGAAGGAAACTTCCTCGGTCTGATAAAGGCAATCTGTGAGAAATCAATTTAAGTCATACTTAATGGTACAAGACTAAATGCTTCCCCATAAGATCAAGAACAAGGCATGGATGTCCGCTCTTACCACTTCTATTCAACATTGTACTCGTAGAGAGCCTTGCTAGTGTGGTAAGAGATAGAAAAGAAATAAGACACATACAGTTTGGAAAGAAGGAATAAAATGTTCTTTATTCACAGAACACATAATTACCTATGTAGAAGATTCAAAAGAATCTACACAATAAACTACTAGACCTAATAAGTGATTTTAGCAAAGCTGGAGAATATAAGATCAATACCTAAATATCAACTGTATTTTTATATACTGGCAATGAACAACTGGGGACTAAAATTTTTAAAAGCACCATTTACAACAGCACCAAGAAACATGAAATACATAGGAATCAATCTAATAAAGTATGTGCAAGATTTGTACGCTGAAAAGTACAATAAACACTGATGAGAGAAATATAAAAATAACTGAATAACTGGAGAGCTATACTGTGTTCATGGATCAGAACACTCAATATTGTCAGGATTGCAATTCTCTCCCAAACTGATCTACAGATTAAAATTCAACCCCAAACAAAATCCCAGTACATTTCCTTATAGAAATTAACAAATTGGATTCTAAAATTTACATGGAAAAGCAAAGGCCCAAAGATAACCAAAACAATTTTGAAAAAGAAAAATAAAGTTGGAGGACTCACATCAGCTTATTTCAAGACTTATAAAGCTACAGTGATCAAGACAGTATGGTGATAGTAAAAAGATAAATACATACATCAATAGAAAACAGTAGAGTCCAGCAATAGATCCACATGCATATGGTCAACTGACTGTTGACAAAGATGCCAGGGTAATTCAATGGAAAAAGGATAGTCTTTTCAACAAATGGTGCTGGAACAATAGGACGTATTCATATCAAATTACAAATCTCAACCTATACTTCACACAATATATAAAAATCGACTTAAAATGAATCAGACTGAAATGTAAACCATAAAACTTCTAGAAAAAAAATATAAGAAAGTCTTCATGACCTTGGGTTAGGCAAATATTTCTTAGATAGTATACAAAAACTGTGAACTTTTTCCCTTCTCGACCTTTTTTTTTTTGGTGAAAACATACATAGCCAAAGATACACCATTTCAAAAATTTTTACATGCACAATTCAGTGACATCGATTACGTTCTTCCAGTTGTGCTGCTAGTCTCACTTTAGATGAAGGTTTACAGAACAAAATAGTTTCTCATTAAACACTCAGTACACATGTTGCCCTATGACAATGGTTAACAACCCCACTACATGTCAACACAGTCCTTACTCAACCTTGGGTTCTCTATCACCAGCTTTCCTGTCCCCTTCTGCCTTCTAGTCTTTGTCCCTGGACTGCTGTGCCTCATTAGTCCTGTTTTGTTTTATGGGGCTGTCCAATCCCAGGCTGAACAGTGAACCTCGGAAGTGACTTCAACACTGAGCTAAAAGGGTGTCTGGGGGCTATACTCTCAGGGTTTTTCCAGTCTCTTTCAGGCCAGTAAATCTGGTCTTTTTTTGTGTGTGTTAGAATTTTGTTCTACATCCTTCTCCAGCTCTGTCCAGGACCCTCTGTTGTGATCCCGGTCAGAGCAGTCACTGGTGGTAGCCGGGCACCATCTAGCTGTACTGGACTCAGTCCGGTGGAGGCCTTGGTAGCTGTGGACAATTAGTCCTTTGGACTAATAAAAGCATGAACTTTTAAAAGAAAAAAATTGGTTGATTGGACTTCATTAAAAATGTTTTGCTCTTTGAAAGACAGTGTTAAAAAAATAAAAAGACAAATCACAGACTCGGAAAAGATATTTGCAAAACACATCTCTGATAAAGAGCTGGTAACCATAATATATAAAGAACTCTCAAAACTCTTTAATTAAAAAAAAATTGCCCAATTAAAAAAAATCCGCAAAGAATTTGAGCAGACACTTGATCAAAGAAGATACACAATGGTAAATTAGACAATAACAATGTTGGTGAGAATATGGAGAAACTGGAGCCTCATATACTGGTTACAGGAATCAAAAATGGTACATACAGTTACTTTGAAAAACAGTTTGGTAATTTCTTACAGAGTTAAACACACACTTCTTACAAAATTCAGAAACCTCGCTCCTAGGTATTTATCTCAGAGATATGACAACTTATGTCCACACAAAAATCTTTACATGAGGACTAACGGCAAAATGGCGCTCTAGGCAGAAGCACCACGCCGTCCCTCCACAGCAAAGATCGGAAAAACGAAGCTGAACAGAGAAAACAGCAATCCTGAAACCCTACAACATCAAATGAACAGATAAAGAACTCACCCAAGCACCAAATGGAGTGAGAAAACTGACAGAGAACGGAAACAAGGAGAGATTCTTGCAGAGGTCTTCTATCAGCTAACGCAGCACGGATCCCCATCTTGGACTCCTAGCGGAGACCAGCAAACAGGGGGTACGAGAAAGCAGCTTCACGGACATTCCAGCGGGAGACAAAACAACAGGTAATTTGCAATATACACTTTCCCACCCCCGACCCTTCTTCACCCCAGCTCGGCCTCCTCTGCTTCCCGCGGCCACAGTCTCTTGTCCGGGAAGCGCTGGCTGCTTGGATTCCACCGACCCGCACTAGCTGGCTCTCTGAGTGCCATTTGTTGGCTGCTGGTGTCGCTTTTTTCCGCTTCTTTTGATTTCTTCCTTACCTCTCACCACCTCCACCTCCTTTCGCTCAAATACCTGGCTCCGTGCGCCATCTTTGCTTCTTCCTGAGGGGCTGCGGAGCTCTGGTAATTTGTGATATATGCTTTCCCACACCCCACCCTTCTTCACCCCCACTTGGCCGCCTCTGCTTCCGGCAGACACAGTCTCTTGTCCGGGAAGCGCTGGCTGCTTGGATTCCACCCACCCGCACTAGCTGGCTCTCTGAGTGCCATTTGTTGGCTGCTGGTGCTGATCTTTTTTCTGCTTCTTTTGATTTCTTCCTTACCTCTCACCACCTCCCCCTCCTTTTGCTCAAATACCAGTCTCCGTGCGCCATCTTTGCTTCTTCCTGAGGGGCTGCAGAGCTCCGTTCGAGTGTGGGACTGCTTCCCGGTCTGGGCTGCCACGCTGGTGGGATCCCGGGGCTTTTGTTTGTTTGTTTTCAATTGTTTGTTTTCTTTTCCTTTTCTTGAGTTGGGAGCCCGTTATGGCCAGGCGGTGCAGCGTGGCTTAGAACCCACTCCCTCGGCTTGCGCAGACACACAGAAGGATACCTGAGAGCATTTCTTTTTTTGTGGTTTTTTTTTTTTAATCTTTCCTGTTTTTTGGGGGGGCTTTTCTTGTTCTTTTTTTTTTTAATTTGTTTTGTTTTCTTTCCTCTCTTTTTCCCTTTTTGTCTTTCTTCATTACAAAGTTTCTTGTCTCTCTATACCTTCCTTCTCTTTCTGTTCCCTGAATACCTGGTGCTGAATACCTCCATGCCTTCTAGCCAGACGATACTACAATACCTAAGAACAACTTCCCCAGACCTCATACCCACACCGGTGGGATCCCTGGGAACTTTGCTGTTCTTTTCCCTTTCTGATTTTTATTTATTCATTCTTTTCTTTTCTTTTTTCTTCTTCTTCCCCTTTTTGTTTTTCTCCTTTTCATAGCCTCTCATCTCTCCACTCCAAAGGCAAGCTCCCCTAGCATTCTTTTGTTTTCTTTGAATGTTTTTGGCTCCTATTCCTCTCTCCTCTCTCCCATATCCATCTTAGCTCCACACATAACAATCTCCCCCCTACATCCTGCCTACCTGCACCATGCGCTTAACATCACACTACCAAGCAGCACATTCACGGCCTACTGGAACCTGCCCGGTACTGATTACCGACCCACCCTGGTGGCTGTAGTAAGTGCCACAAACAACCCATCCCAGTAACACCTCTTCAGCTAGACCTGCCCTGCTGTACCATATTGGAGCGACTGAGACTGCCAATTGGAGAAGGAGGCAAAAGTATCATGCACACAGACGAACAAACAACAAAGAACACACAGTCCACCTGCTCAGACATAGCCAAATAAAAAAAAGGACAAAACAAACAAATCTACGATCAATAAACGAGAAAAATAACTACTGAATGCCACGAAGACAGCAGACAATATCAAAACATTTACAAAACCAGGACAGGATGGCTCCAGTAGGTGTCCAAAATAAAACACCAGATGATTTTCCAGTGGAAGAAAAGGCACTAGAGCTACCGGATAGGGAATTCAAATCTCTAATACTCAGAATTCTCCAAGAGTTGAACCAAAAAGCAGACAAAAATGAGGAAAAAACAGACAAATTCATGGAAAATACAGACAAACATTGGAAGAATTCAGGAAAACAATGCAGGAACAAAATGCCAAAATAAATTCACAACTAGAAATTATACAAAAACAACAATTAGAAATCCAAAATATAAACAAGATTTCAGAAAGGGACGGTGTCACAGAAGGGCTGAGGAGCAGATCTGAAACAGTGGAAGACAGGATCAGTGGAATTGAAGACAAGCACTTGGATACAACTGTTTGAGGAAAACTCAGAAAAAAGAACAATGAAAAATGAAGAGACCCTGAGAGTTATGTGGGATACAATCAAAAGCAAAAATTTGCGAGTGATTGGAGTTCCAGAACAGGGGGAGAAAACAGAAAACACAGAGAGGATCACTGAAGACTTGCTGACAGAAAACTTCCCCAATATCATGAAAGAT